GTGACGCGCCGGCCGAGCCGTGGGAAGGCCCCGGGCGCTCACCGCCCCCACCGATGGCTGGTAAGTCCGGCTCCGCTCCTCCCGCCGCGCCCTGGGTGGCTTTGGGCAGGTGCCCTTGGAGGCCCTGCGGGGAAGCCAGGGGTCCCCGCCTATTCACCCCGGGCGCTGCCAGCTTGTGGAGTCACCGCTCCGCGATGTCCCAACTTCTGCAAGGGTCGACCCCGCCTGCTCCTGCCTCCTGGGCTCCTGGGGGCCGCAGACACGTCGGGTTTGGCGAGGTTGGTGGAGGTGTCTGTGACCTGATCCAGGGCAAGAATCCCCCAGCAGCTTCTCCCATAGAGGTCCAGGATACGGGGAATGTGCTATGTGTCTATGGGGGCGGGGGAGAGGGAACTCAAACATGAGAGAGGCGGCGGTCACCCCCAAAAGGGACGTCTGATGTTGTTGGCGCTACCTAAGAAGGTTGGGCTCTGGCCAGGGTCCTTGCGGGCCTGACTTGATGATGGTGGAGATGTCCCTGGGAATCAGTTTCCAGTTCACCTGGGGTGTTGCTCTCCTAGGAGACCAGGAGCTCCAGGAGAGAGCTCCTGGGGGTGGGGGTGGGGGAAGGAGCCTGGGAGACCCCTCTACCCACCCTCTGGCCTCTCTTCCTGGGAGTTCCCCTCTGACCACAGACCAAAGTGCTCACTTGGTGGGGGTCCCAGCTGCTCTACCTCCAGGGAGTAGGACACAGGGAAGATTCACAGAGACAAAGATCTGCCATCCTCCCTTATTCAGAGAAACCCCCAAGGTTCAGAAGGAAGCTGAATGGGAGCATCATGAAGGGAAACAGATTTCATGGGTAGGGAGGGCTTGGTGTGGTGGGTCAGACACAGAGAAGTTGTGGCAGGCAGAATAATGCCCCTCGCCCCCCACAAAAATTCAGGACCTAATCCCTGGAAGCTGTAAATGTAACCTTATTTGGAAAAAGAGTCTTTCAGATGTAATTAAATTAAGGATCTTTTGATAGGGAGATTATCCTGGATAATCTGGATAATCTGGGTGGGCCCTAAATGCACTCTAAAGTGTCCTTATAAGAGAGAGACAGAGGAAGGTATGACACAGACAAAAAAGAAGTCAATGTGACCACAGAGGCAGAGACTGGAGTGATGCAGCCACAAGCCAAGGAATGCCAGCAGCTACCAGAAGCTGAAAGAAGCAAGGAACAGATTCTCCCCCAGAGCTTGAGAGGGAGCATGGCTCTGCTGACGCCTTGATTTGGATGCAGTTAAACCAGTTGCCGTCTACATGCCATAAAACTGGCATAGCAAGGGCGTCTGACCTCCTCTAACTTCATGAGGCCGAAGGAGAATCACCATCACCATCAGCCCAAAGCTGATTCCTATGAGGTGGAGGTCAGACGTACTCCACTCTCCAACCTTTTTACCAGTTCTGACACCAGCTGTCCCTCCAATGGCACTCTGTACTTCTCTGCAGGGTTCCATAATTCGCTGCAACGGCCACACAGAACTCACAGACAGTACTTACAGTTATGGGGTTTATTAGGGAAGTAACAGGTTGCAATTCAGGATACAGTTCTTCAGTCAGGATAGCTTCTCAGCCAGGACAGCTTCTCAGCCATGCCCTGCCCACAGGCAGGACTCTCCCTGGCCCTCGACCTCTCAGCCCCTTGGCCTGGCCTCTGCCCTGCTTGGGCAAGTGTTACAAAGCTCTTTAGCTCTGCAGATAAGTGCCCAGAGGCAACCCCCTCTGCCAGAAAGCCTCAACCCAAAGGTGCTCAGCTCTCTCGCTCCATGGGTCAGCAAGCCTAGCCCCGTCAGCAAGTGCCTGGGAGCACCCCACTCCGCCAGCAAGCCTTCTGCCCAAAGGTGCTCAGCTTTCTTGCTCCGTGGGCCAGGAAGCCCACTGTACCATCTCTTGCCAGTCTCGGGATTCTATTGCGTCTGCTGCTGCCGTTTCTTTGCTGCTGCTTCTCACCATCTCTTGCTATCGCCGGTGTTACAGCTCTGTCTGTTTCCTGGGTCTAGGTTCTTAGCACAGGGATCCCAGGTCTAAAGGACACATTGCACTCCTAGCTCTTCTTTCTTGGTAGTCAACTCCAACTCATGGAGAACTCGTGTGTCAGAGTAGAATTGTGCTTCACAGGGTTTTTGATAGCTGATTTTTGGGAAGTAGATCACCAGGCCTTTCTTCTGATGTGCCTCTGGGTGGACTCAAACATCCAACCTTTCCATTAGCAGCTGAGTGCATTATCCATTTGCATCACCTAGGGACTCCTGGTTTGGTCCCAGTAATATAGATTTTGGACGTCTGGTATCCAGAACTGTGAGAGAATAAATTCCTGGTTTTTTTTTTTTTTAAGCCACCACGTTTGTGGTAATCTGTTATAGCAGCCATAGGAAATTAATACAGAAGTCTTTTTCCTCTAAACCAGGCCCAGGGGAGGAAGCCACTCTTCTGTGCAGGAGAGTGGGCTTGGCCATCTGAGAATCACTGCACTTTCACCCCCATGGCAAGATCTACTCCGGGAGACCTGATTATTTGGTGGGAAAGAACCTCTCTGTCTTTTGGTCCTTTAGGGAAATGTTCTTGTGTCCCCTTCCACACATGTCCACATATACAACCACTTGGTCAAGTACACAAACACATACACACAGACAGACCTGTAGACACACACAGATAAGCAACTGGCATGAGCAGTCAGTACCTTCAGCCTGTACTTCCTCCAGGAAACCCTTGTGGTCACCCCAGCCACACCTAAGAACTGTTATTCCAAATGCCCTCGGCACTCACATAACTTCTGTGGGCACATACCAGTGGAGTGGATACCATAACCAACATAGAAGTTGCATAATCCATACACTGTGCATTCCCTGCAAAGGCAGAAGTCAAGATGACACTCAAATATTTGCCCTGTGTAACTGACTAAGATAACAGAGGAGCAGATTTGCAGGGGAAGATCAAGGGCTCCATTGCAGACATGTTCAGTGTGAGATGCCCTGAGTTGCCCAAGGCGGGTATGGGGGTGAGGAGCTCAGAAATAGGCCTAGGCTTGGTATTAAATTTAGAATTCCTTAGGTAATAAATAGGTCCCTAAACCAAAAAAAGAAGTGTTGCTGTCGAATCAATCCCGACTCATAGCGACCCTGTAAGACAGAGTAGACCTACCCCATAGGGTTTCCAAGGAGCAGCTGGTGGATTCGAACTGCCAACCTTTTGGTTAGCAACCAAGCTGTTTAACCACTGTCCCTAGGTGGTGCAAATGGTTCGCACTCAACTACTAACCTAAAGATTGAAGGTTCGAACCCACTCAGTGGTACCGTGGAAGGAAGGCCTGGCAATCTGCTTCTGTAAAGATTATAGCCACGAAAACCCTATGGAGCAGTTCTGCTCTGTAACACATGGGGTCACCGTGAATTGGAATCAACTCAGTGCCAGTGGGTTTGGTTTTTTTTAAGGTAATGTTGTTAGGTGCTGTCGAGTTGGTTCCAACTCGTAGCGACCCTCTGTACAACAGAACAAAACACTGCCCAGTCCTGCGCCATCCTCACAATCATTGCTATGTTTGAGCCCATTGTTGCAGCCACTGTGTCAGTCAATCTCGTTGAGGGTCATCCTCTTTTTCACTGACCCTCTGCTTTACCAGGCATGATGTCCTTCTCCAGGGACCGGTCCCTCCTGATCACGTGTCCAAAGTACATGTGATAAAGTCTTGCCATCCTTGCTTCTAAAGGAGCATTCTGGCTGTACTTCTTCCAAGACAGATTTGTTCGTTCTTCTGGCAATTCATGGTATCTTCAATATTCTTCATCAATACCATAATTCAAAGCCATCAATTCTTCTCTGGTCTTCCTTATTCTAAGGTAGTAGATGGCATTTAAAGCTATAGAAGTAGATAAGATCACCCAGAGAGAAAGTGTGGATGGAGACAGAGGAGGGGCCTAGCTATATATTTAACATTTGTTGAGCACTTATAACACCAGAGGCCCTGGGTAGTGCAAATGGTTAACTGCTCGGATGCTAACCAAAAGGTTGGCAGTTTAAGTCCACCCAGAGGCGCCTTGGAAGAAAGGCCTGGCAATCTACTTCTGAATGATCAGCCATTGACAATCCCATGAAGTAGTAGTAATATTATCATTCTCACTTTGCAAATGAAAAAAGAAGTCATAGAGAGGTGGAGTAACTTGCCTAAGGTCCAAAACCCACTGCCATCAAGTCGATTCTAACTCATAGCGACCCTATAGGACAGAGTAGAACTGCCCCATAGGGTTTCCAAGCCTGTAAATCTTTATGGGAGCTGACTGCAACCATCTTTCTCCTGTGGAGCGGCTGGTGGGTTCGAACCACTGAGCTATCAGTGAGCAACTGAGTGCTTTAACCATTGTGCAACCAGAGCTCCTGCCTAAGGTCAACAGGTAGTAAATAGAAGGGCTGGAATTCAACAAAGCAATTTGGTTCCAAAGCCAAATCATTAGGCTTCATTATCTTATATAGCTCTTAACCATTAGGCTATATTACCTAGTACTGAGCCTAGAGCCATGCCAGCAGTACAGTAGTCATTAGTCACTATTGAGTACTTGAAATGTGGCTGCTCTGAATTGAGATGCGCAGTAATTGTGAGATACACACCAAATTTTGAAAAATATTGATAATTTTTATATAGATTACATTTGAAATAATATGCATATTGGATTAAATAAAATGTGTTATTAAAATTAATTTCAATTGTTCTGTTTTTAATTTTCTTAATGTGGCTACTAGGACA